CGACACTCTACAGTTCCATACAAATCGAAAAACGGAACACTTCCGCATAAAAGAAACATTCCTAGTATGATGGATAATAGCAATTTGTATAGTTTAGCGACATTTACGCAAAAATCACATCTTGGTTATTTTTTGATAACTAACAACAGCGATTTTGATTATGAATTTGTTTTATAAAATTCTAAGCTATTGAACTACAAAAATATAGATTTTAAGAAAAATGTTATGCTTAAAGAATGAAAAATACCTTACGGTACATTTAAAATTGTACACGTCTTTCCATACCCTCTTGATAGAGTATTCGCTACTTTTATTTTATTTTCCAAACGCCAAAATGTTTTAAATAAAACAAATTTTTTTCACATCCATATATTATTTAACATGTACCTTTAAAAATTTTTCAGAATTAATTTTTAACTGCTGCCCATTTTAAACTCATCATTTTAATTTTATATATCTGAAAATTAATCACTTTGAGCTTACACGTTTTACTTATTTGGGTTAATTAAAAATAAAATTACCATCAAATGCTGCAATTCTCGTCAAAATTAATAAATATACACACAGATATGCCAATAAGTAGCTTTCCTTGATTTGGAAACCACACATTTGTGTAAAATTATGTACAGTTTTACACAAATGGTGTGGAACAGAAGAGGGATAATTTGCGAATTTGCGGAAAGTACCATGTGCGGTCAAGATGATGTGACCATGCGAACGTGCTACATCATCAAGACAGCTTATTAAGAATTTGAAAATAGGGTAATCGACGGAGGTGAAAACATTTGTATATCCTGCCAAAGGAGGTCCGATCATGAATGGTCCTCTTTTGATTCCAGATTGTTAAATGTTTCCCACGCAAGTCTTTTTCTCGGAAATTCGAGTTTTATGCTGGCTTCTTAACGTACGCAGGTCATTAAATTATTTATAAATGTATTTGAAACGAATAATTTATTCATTCATAAACAAATATGAAAGTTACTGTGAAGAAATCTAATTATTAAATTATCTAAATGTATAATGATTATAAATATTATTTAAATATATAATAACCTTAACATTGAATTGTAAGCATAAATTGAAAACCTGTTGACAAATACGTTATAAAACTATTTAAACAAGAATTGTTCGTACTGGAAAGCAATCTGAGGTATTGTAAAGCAAATTCTATGAGATGCGCACTTAAGAACGTAATAAAGAGTTTTGGAATATGTATTGTTGAAATTAAGGGCAAAAAAATCTGATAAGTGTAATTAAAAGAATTATTCCCCTTACATTTTATAATAACTTAGTTACAAGTTTTAAATAATATTTAAAAAAATCCGTATTGTATTCCCTTTCAGAAATGTTCAGAGAAAGTCAAGTATACTATTTAAAGTATTTCGCTAATTCTCTAATTTAAAATGAACCGAATAGAGCATTAATTATAAATTGACGTACATTTTTCGATTTAAAAGATGCCTCAGAAGCCAAAAAATCATGTCATATTTAAGAAAGTATTTTAGGAAGAAGCTCTATGAAATAGAAAAGAAATAATGCATAATTTTAATATTAATAATACAATAAACTTTGATCTTAATTTTTGTACCTTAACCGAATAAAATCGAATTACCTTAATTTTTTTCTAATGTAATTAGCGAAAACTTGTGAAAATATTTCATTCAAATTAAACCATTCTGAGAAAACTGTCCTGTGAAAAGTATAGCATTTAATTCCGTTCAGAATGAAATGTTGTTTAAAAATATGTTGTTTTCATATACTTAGGACTCTGAAATGTTGTAGAAAAAGAAAATATATACATTTATATGTATATTTACGACGTAATTACAAAATATTTACATCCGAACGCGTCAAATCCCATTGAACTCAATGGGATTTGATGTTTTGGTCACCACGAAAGGATCCCCGGTGCTTCAGAGCAGGGTTACGGGAGAAACTTGTTTAGAGCTACTCCATCTTACTTCCTACCTCCATGGAATATGGGGGGGGGGGAGGAAAAATGAATCCTTACACTTACGTAAGTTCAGATCATGTATGTTTTGGGCTGCCCAGTTCCTAGTGTCATGAGAGGTTTTCAATTGACGGAACATTTCTGAACGCAGCTTTAGCGGAAAAACAACAAGAAAAGTATAAAAAACTTCGAAAGTTCGTGTTAAATGACAAAATTAAATGACGCAACGTACTAAAAACTATTCTTAAATCGTGTTAACCGATAAACATGTACATTACTGATAGGACCGAAATTTTATTCATGCTAATCGAGTGTTCGCCATAAGCGAGTTCGTGTTAAGGGGGAGTTTACTGTATATAATATTTTCCGAAAACATGTTTTCAAATTTGCTATATTAACTGAAATAAAATCGTCATTGTAATTTTAAATAGCCGAACTACAATATTTTTCTTTTATAACTGTAAGAAATATGTTTAACTAATTTGATCAATATTGAATATATATTAAATTTTATGTTGGACAATTTTTTTTTCTTTATTACCAAATTAAATCAAACAAGATAGTATTCATTTTGCTAAATCTTCTGAACTTTTTTTTATGCCGCAGGCTGCTTTTAAGGGCAGGTACTGTTTGCATTTTCTTATGTATATTTATAAATTTTAGAGTACCAAGAAAATAAAGTTCTGTCATGAACTTTGAGCTTTTTCTGTTAGAGAGGTCTACATTTAGAATTCATAACTTCATGTACTCCTCTAAATTTTTGCCATACCGTATGCTTTTTAGACTAAAATGTTGAATTTCAAAATTTGTATACATTTTCATATCCTAAATTATTTTGAATGCATATGCGCAATTTTTATATGCTTTCTACTATAATTATTTTTTGGTCAGCTATCCTTGGAAACATTACATTTTATTACATTAAAAATGTATTTTTCTTATGCATTCAAATATGCGTTTCTCCCTTAACTATTTTTACACAAGCATAATTTGACATTAAATTGGATTTTCAGTCTAGCAGTCTTGTTCATTCATTGATTTTGAAATATTTTAGGAATTATAAAAGTAGTGATTTGCACAGAATCGCGGATCAGTGAAGTATTGTTTAATAAAAATTTTATGGACTGAATAAAATTAATATTTTTAAGAGAAATGAATGATTTTTTTTTTCGTATCTACTCATGCTTCACAATATGAGTGAACCTTGTTTTAATGTAGACCTTGTTTAGTTGTGAAAAATAATTATTAATTACAATAGTAATTTATAGATTTATAACATATGTGACAACAGATTTGTAAACTTGGTACAAAATAAATGTACTGTAATTTTTTTAAATTGTAATTTTATTTACTTCTTTGCAGTGATAAGAGAAATATGAAGTATATTAATATATGACAAAGGTTAGTAAACAATATTTAAAAAACATCTTACAAAATTAAAATTCTTGAGTACAGAATGAATAAACTGCATTGGTTGGTTTATCATTTCTGTTTCACACATTTCCTATTGGTTGTTTCATTAACCAATTTTGGCACTCACTAGTTAAGACAAGAATACAGATTTAGTGTTCTTAAATGTTATTGACCACAATTATCAGTTTTATATTAGGGAAAATTTCCAGCTGTAGCTTAGTTCTGCTTGTATTAAGATTAGTTTAGAATTTTGATTTTAGCAAAATTGTGATCATATGCAATATATCTGTATGATGTACACCACTCACATGTACATATTCATGCATGCATATCTAGTACATACTCCTACATGCATATATTCACACATGTCTATCATATACAGTCAAAAGTCGTTAATCCGGACTCGTCGGGACTTCGGCGATTCCGGATTATCGATTTTTCCGGATTATAGATCATCATTTTAAATCTGGTAAGATGGCATGCAGAAATTACAAAATTAAAAATATGAAACCGTAATTTATGAAATAAAGAACAATTATGATCTAAAGGGTATCAAGATTTACAAAAAGAAAAAGCTTAATATTTATTTGTTTACTTTATTAAACATTTCTTTCAATGTAAGTTGTTTAAGTTGCTTCGTTTCATGTGATAATACTTTCTCTTTAATTCTGTTAAACAGACATAATTTCTTGTTTAGTTCAAAGTTCCGCTGTTCAAGTCCTATAATTGCTGTGTGGAGAATACCGACTAATTTGTCAATCGAAATTTTTTCGTTTTCAATAACCTCTGTCACTTTCTTCACTATCGGAAGCGAATTATAATGACGAGGAACTTGTTTTAAATCATATCAAAGACGGAGCACATCGAGATGAAATACTACATTTGGTAAGGAGTTATAAGCCAAATAAAATAAAAACATCTGCCCTGAAGATAAGGATAGTGCTGACAGATCAACTTCCAATTCATTACGCATCGCGGCATTCCCCCCGCCGAGCAGCGTGAAATTGATAAACAGATTTCGGATTTCGAAACATACTTTCGCTTTAGATCCTTTACATATTAACAAATATATATCGGAAATTCTATTTGATATAATCGAAAGTTTAAGCTTACTTTTATAAAATTGCTCTAACAGTCTGCAAAAAAAAAAAAAAAAAAAAAAAAAAAGCCGGATCCAATTCGAAGATTAAAGAACAACGCAATCTGCAACATTAACTGAAATAATTTTAGCTTAGATAACACCGTCTGTTATACATTAAACGCGCATGCGTAAACATTTTATGAGCATGTGCATAAGCATATTCGCAGCCGTAAAGGTCTTACGCGCGCACGTAAACGCCTATGCGCATGCGTCAACGCGACGCATGCGCTGAAAGTTTGTAGCTTTGAGGTCCGGATTATAGATCATTCCGGATTATGGGTGTCCAAATTAACGACTTTTGACTGTATAATGACTTTTTTATGATGTGTGTGCAACAGTAAAATTTTACTGAAGTGCTAAATATAAAAGAATTTATGATCACTATTCCATTCTTTCTTTCTTTATTTATTTAAAAAAATAAACTTGTATTTTGGAAATTTGAGGCATATCACTACAAAAAACTTATACAGTATTAAAAGAACTTTTTTTCAACAGGCTTTATTATGCAGCTGTTTCATACCTCTTTATTCTGGAATGACAATGCCTGTTTTCCGAGGAGTGGTAAGTTATATTTTTATTTATGAAAATCGGTTCAAATTTCTTTGTTATATTTTTATAAAAAATATCATTCTGATTTATTATATATGGAATGTGATGTTCATTAATTTAAAGCCAAAACTGGAACTTATTTATTATATATATATTTTTTTCACTTCAGATTCTAAAAATAATCTGATTCAAGTAAATGGCGATCTTATAATAGTAGTTTAGTAATTTTATAGAGAATGAACAGTTTTTCTAGTTATTATAACTGTTTAATTCTTTGGATTCTGCAGTATTATAAGGCAACATTATTATTATTATTATTTTTTTTTTTTTTAATATATTTGTGAATAGCCTCTAAAAAGATGCATGTAAAGAGGATCTAGAAGATAATGATGGCAACTAGAATCAAAATTAAAGTATTAAAAAGTCTCTTAAATATAGTCTTTCTATTGATGTTTAATTTAAATATGAGTTTTAGGTAAATGGGATGCTTTGATGGATGAGTGGACTACTTTTAATTTTTTAATGATACAGTCCCCATAAAGTGAATATCAGAATAAAGCTGTGACAAGAAATTTTTATTTAATTTTGTTTTGTGTTATTTTATTGTTAGAAATATGTTGATGGTGGACTGAGTGATAATCTTCCAGTACTGGATGAAAATACTATCACAGTTTCTCCTTTTGCTGGAGAACATGACATTTGTCCTGAAGATGAAAGCTGTAATATTTTGCAAGTGAATTTGGCAAATACAAGCATAGCAGTAAGTCTTCTTGGAAATCTTACCTAAACAGAATATTGATATTTATAATTTTTTTTAAGTTGGAAAAATGTTAAAAAGTATATATTTTGTTATTATGTTTCTGAGTTTATTTACAATAGTAATATGCAGATAGATATAAAAACCTGATACTTTTGTGTTGATTGGGCATAAATGATAAATTGCCAGATGTGATTCTTGAGCTCACAAATGCCAGTTTTTGCAGTAAATGAAAAGTTGTCAATTTAAAAATATTTCTATAAAAACAAAATTATTTAAATAAACTAAATTTGTTACAAATTGTGAGCAAACATTTCTTGTGTGAAATTGTTGATTTAAATTTCAGGACATGAAAATTGCTTATTACGACAGAATTATTCTGTAGGAGATCTTCATGAAAGAAAATTCTGCCATGAATTTCACTTGATACAAAAAGTAGTTGAAAATTGAACATTTTATTTGTTTTTAAACATCAACAGGCCTAGCTAATGTAGAAGTACCAATACTTGAATTGGAACTTTGGAAATTGATTGCAATAGATTCACTGTTCCACGAGTGAAATATAAAACAGAATAATATTTTGGAGAACTTTTGGAATTAAAATATTCTGTGCATGATTTGCATTTTTTTCCACAAAAGATAGTAATTTGCATGAGTATATTAAAAGCAAATATTTATAGGATTCAGTATTCTATATGTTTACTTGTAATAACTGTTAACAGTGACATGCCAAGAGGGTTTCATCAAGGAGAGGGTCTAGGTACTGCTTTGCTTCATGATGTAGAAAATTTTATTGGCTAGCTGTGAATTAGTGTTTCAGTAGCTTGTTTTCTAACTTTCTAATTTGTGTAAGATATCGTTAACTGCTTTCTTTCATGATTTAGAAAATTTTATTGGCCAACTGTGAATTAGTGTTTTCAGTAGCTTGTTTTTTTTTTTTTTTAATTTTCTAATTTGTGAAAGATAAAAGAAACTTCTTCCCATCATGTACGTTATATTAGTCAGAAAATAACATTTTTTAATTTATTGTATGAGGTGGTTTTGTCATTGTTTTAACGAGTTTTTAGAAATGCAGCATCTGTGTGTCATAAGTTACTATCTAAAACCCTTATTCATAATTAATTTCAAATTATCAATATGCTCTAGATCAGGGGTTCTCAACTGTTGGTACACAAGAGAAAAATAGGTGGTATGCAAAGAAGTAAAGTATTTTTAACTAATAAATTCAAAAATTAAAACCCCAACATGATTGAGTTTTCTGTAACACTTGTAAATTTATAAGATCTGAGCTTTTGTTCAAGGTAGTAGTACTTTGTACTAGAGGTACTAAAGGTTTTCAATTTTTTTTAGATGGTACACATCAGTCAAAAGGTTGAGAACTGCTGCTTGTAGTTCATTTAATAGTAAATTCCTTTTTGTTAAATAAATTTTGATCCTAACTCTTGAATTACTTATAAAATAAGTTACTGAATATATGACCTTTTTCTCTCCCTCTTTAAGGTTTCACCTAGGAATATTTATCGTTTGTGCAGGATTTTATTTCCACCCAAACCAGAAATTTTGAGTAAGATGTGCCAGCAGGGATTTGATGATGCCTTAAAATTTCTGCAGAGAAAAAGTAAAAGTTTATTCTCATAATTTTATCTTTTGTAAACATAGTTTTTGAAAGTTCCATTATAATTTTATTACTGTAATGAGAATTCTATAATATTTTCTCCCCTTCTTTTTAGACCTTATTGCTTGCACTAGATGTTTAGGAGTTCAGTCTAGCCTTTCTCTGGCAGAAACAGAATCCGAGAGTAGTTTTGATAAGGATTCTTGTGAAATAAAGCAGAACCATGACAATTGTAGTGATTGCACGGAAAGACGAAAAGGAGCTCTGATTGGAAATCTTCCCGAATGTGTTGTTGATGGTACTTATTATATACGTAACACTTTTAATCTAGGATATATGAAGTGATATCTTTGATATAAAATACATTAAAAGAATATTTATTTAAAAATATCTATAATAATACCTTGCATACTGAATGACCGACATAAGAAATGTACACATGGGTAAAAAATCCAGCACTTTGAACCACACACAAATTTTGTTACATATTAAACATGGAACTAAATTTGTTATATTTTTGTTTTGGTAGCATATAAGCATTAAAAATAATACTGATGCATAAATAAAGGCAACAAATAAACATATTTCATAATTATTACATTACGGTAAGACCCCGCTTAACGCGGGGGATACGTTCCATCAAAGTAGAGCGTAATGCGAAACAGCGCTAAACGAGGCTATCTTTACGTGTAAATATTGGGGTTAGAGGAAGATGGCTAGGAAATTGGTTAGGTATTAAATTTAAAAAGTATGTTTTTTTAATAAAAATAAAACCAAACATTTATTTCTTAAAGCCCATTAATTAATACCACATTATTATTTCTTGCAAAAATAAAAACAAAATATAAATAACAAAACGAATATTCTTAAAAAAAAGAAACAAATAAACAAATAAAATTCTGAGTCAGTCATATTTAGTTAGCCTTCCGCGTTTTCAGTGTTCTGCAGTTTTGTGACAAAAGCATCTAATGTTGTTTGCCTTTTTCTTTTGCGTTGTTCTCTTAAAAGTTCTTCATAAATGGATAGAGCATCTCTAACACCACGCCTTACTTTTGAGCTCCTGTCAAAATTCGGATCATTTTCAATGAATTGATCCATTATTTCAGTTATGGTAGACAAACTCCTTTTTACAAACGCCATCAAAAGTTCTTTTTGCTCTTCTTCTAAATCACTGCTATCAACATTTTTGTTTTCTTCTTGTTCAGTTAATTCCTTGAGCTCATCATTAGAAAGAGTAGCCGCTGCTTCTTGAATTATTTCTTTGACATCTTCCACATTTACCCCTTCAAAATATGTCTGTACAATACCGCACCAAACAAGAAATATAAGTACACTCTTTCGGATATGTATTTGAAACCTATCGCTGCATAAGATTTCGTGGAATCCCCGTATGCTGCGAGCGATTTCGTGGAATCCCCGGGTTGAATTAAAAGAGCACTAAACCGAAACAGCGCTAAACGAAACAGCGTTAAGCGGGGTCTTACTGTACTTTTTAACATCATGAAACAAATCTGTCATTCTCATTAGCTTGAAATCCCAGTTTGGAATATCCTTAATTTTTGGCAAATAATTGTATGCCAGCTCCCTCCTCAAAGCCTTCAAAAGTTTAAATTTGCACTGTTAGGAGAATGACCCCAAAGGACTTATTTGATGCATTAATCAATAGTCTAGAAAGATGTGCATTTTGGCTAGAAAAGCTAATACATCCTATTAAATAGTTGCATTTTTGACAATAATAATGATAGTTTTAATGTTTTTAAAATTTTATATGTAAATCTTAAATACACATATGTGGATTAAAATGTTGAATTATGTTTCATAATTTTGTGTGCAATTTTGCTGCTTATATGTGTGCATTTGTTTCCCAAAGGTTTAGTTTCATTTTAATATCTTTTTTCCTAGTATTCTTTAATTTTGGATTGTATAAGGAAAGTATTTTAACTAAATGTACAAATATTTATATCTTACAAATTAATTGTAATGTGTATGTAACTATTATTTGTGTAATTTAATTTAATATTATCCAACATGATCATATTTGTTTTACGAGTTTTATTGAAATAACCTTTTTATTCTTTAGCAATTCAGCAAGCAGTTGATCAGATGAATAAAGGAAACTGGGTTTTACAACTGCCAGGTGTGAAATTATTGAGACTCTTGGGAGCTCCATATATTCTTCCTTTGGATGTTACTACTGTTATATTTTGGAAGTAAGCAAGGCACTTATCTGTTACATTTTTATTGTATTTCATGTTAATTGTACTGAAGGTTTATTTCTTTGTCATTAATATATATTTTTTTATTTGTAATGTGTATTTTAGAGTATGGCAACAGTTACCATCTTTCCGAAAAGAAATTCTAGCTAAGTTTGACACAATAATTTCCTTGACAAAATATCTCCTTAACAAGATAGATAAGAACAGCCATCTTTATAGTGCAAAGTAAGTAATGTTTGTATACTTTAATTAAATAAGCTATATATATATATATATATATATATATAATGTTATGGTGAAAGATCGAAATCTGGAGAATGTCGACTTTCACCGGTGAATGTCAGCATTCACATAGTCTCTTGGTGTATGTCCGAAATATTTTCCAAATACTCTTATTTCTTATTTATACCGGTCAATGTCGACATCCACCATGTACTAATGTTGAATGTTGAATATATAACAATATTATATTTTCTTCTCCGTAAGACATGAGAACCTAAAACACATAATACATTTAAAATGAGAAAGGAAAATAATAGAAGTTAAAAACTTACTTAATTATAGAGTACGTTCTAAATGAGAAAATAAAATAACAGTAATAAAAAATTACTAAATTATGTGAATCAAATCTTATTTATTGCAACAACTTAAACTATTATGGCACTTTATGACCTTTCTTTTCGACTTACACCAGAGCATATCTGTGATTGTCAAAATACACCAGTGAGGGTCCGAATATGCAAGAATGTAGTGCAATATTCAATCTTTCACCAACGTATTTGGTGAATGTTAACATTCTCCGGTGAAAGTTGACATTCTTCAATTTCGGTCTTTCATGGTAACATATATATATGATTTTTCATAATCTCATTTTATATGAAAATTTTCTAACTTAAACATTAAACTGTCATGGCTAAGTAAACCTTAAATTAAAAGTTGTTATAGAATTAGATTTCACAAGTTTGTATTCCAAAAGAAGCATTTTATTTTCATATTTTTAAGTTTAAAATCGGGTATCTGCATAGATCCAGAATAGTATGTCTTGTTATGAGAAATGAATGAGGGATGAAATTATAAATGCAGTTATATAACACTTTGAAGTATTATGACGATGATTCAGATTCAGATTTTGGTTTGTTTTGTTTATGGTCAGTTTAAACCATTTTATTGCAATCTTGTTCTAAAATGAAAGGCTTTAAAAATTCGCTGCATGTTAGTACTGTATCATATTTAATAAAATTGTAAACTCAAGAGAAGAAACTACATAGAATTGAATTTCTATTGCTGCGGCATGCTGCTTATACAAACTGTTTTATGAAAGAAGGTTTTGCAAGAAAAATCCTGATAAATCTAGCATTTTATTCTCCTTTTTTTAATATTATCATTTTACACTTTTACTCTCTTTGTTAAAGTTTTTATCACAAATTCTAGATGCTCATCGGTCAATCAGGGTTTTTTTTTCATATTAATTTTTAAATGTGAAAAAATGCAGTTCACTTATAAATGTATTCCCAAACAGAGAGATTATTCTTAATGAAAAAATTCAGAACTGTACTTATTTTTTAACAAGTATGAATAAATGTTAACAAAATCTGTATCTTCAAATCTTTGATTAAAATTTTATATCACATTATAATTTAGTTAGTTCTATTTATAGATATTTTATGCATTGTTCACATTAGTTTTTAAAGGTAATGAAAATAATATAAACTCAGGATCAAATAATTAAAATCTTGAAGTCTTTGCAACTCTGTATTTGCAACAAATTCGTAATTGAAATGCCTTCATCGGCTGTTGGTCTATGAGACTTGTAGTTTCCAATTTACATTATTCTTTCTTTAAAGTAAATGAATTGTTTAGGATAATATTGCTATTTAAGTGACATAAAATTGCTAGCAAGTTCCAAACATCTATAACTGTACTATTGATCAAGTATGTAAACAGTGTATAAGTGTTTACAAACTCATGCCAGAATATTTTGTTTATAATTTTTATTTAGGATATTGTTAAGTTTGTGAAGACTGTTTACATATGTGTATATTAAAATAAATTGTTTCTTAAAAATAAGCATTTAGAGATGTTTTAGTATGTTTATTCTCTTTTTGAAATTTACAGAAATGTAAGATACTTACATGTATAATGTATAAGGAACAACATTTAGAATCAAGTAATCTTATTTGGAATGCAGTTTTAATTGATATATAATTTTAGCAGAGAAGTGATAATGGAATTATATATATACACATTTTAGCAATAAGGTTGCAGAAATTTGGGTGGGGGGGAAGAGCTCTATAAATGCATTGAGAAGAATGTAAAATTCCTTTGCATATAATATTGTCTCGTGCATATGGATTCATAATAGATTGAATGCACAAGTACGATAAAGTTTAATAAAATTTATTCTTATCAAAAGAAATGTAACAGAACACTGGAATTTTCCTCAGAGATATTTAAACACTTTTCAAAATATCACACAATATAATAAGGAGTTATACTTCAAACTGCTAAAAACGTTATCAAAAGAGAAAGCTAATTTAGATATCTCAGTTCACGCAGAACTACACTCATGTCTATAAATTAAAGGTAATGCCAAATCAGGCAAAGGAAGAGTTAGAAGCAAAACAAATTTGACTTATTTGTAAAGCTTATTTATTAAACAAAAGGTAAAAGAGCAAAAAAAGATGCTATATGTTTAATATTATTAAAAAAATTAGCGATTTTTTCTCCCTGGAGCAAATTACAAAAAAAAAACACCTATTTATAAAAAACCAATATTACATGGTTGATTGTTAATACATTGTATGTCTCCCAGACGATGCAATACAGTCCGTACAATGCCTAGGCATGCTGCATGCTGAGTATCAAATTATCGATCTGATCTTGGGGGATATTACACTACACAAAAAGCAATGCTCTCCGAAGTTCCGGTATACATGTAGGAAGAGGTTGACGGGCTGCAACTCGTCGGCCAAGCATGTTCCACACGTGCTCAACTGGATTCAAGTCCGGTGAGAATGCTGGCCGGTCCATATGGGTGATATCCTCCGATTGAAGGCATTCGCTTACGATGTTTGCACGGTGAGGACTGGCGTTGTCATAAATAAACACAAATTGGGCGACCATGACGCCCCGAAACAAACGCACATGTTGTTCCAGAATGACCTCCCGATAGATTTGGCTTGTCATGGTTCCAATTTGAACATGCAGGTCATTTCTGGAACCCAGAATAATTCCACCCCAAACGAGCACTCCTGCACCACCGTAACGGTGTTGTTCAATGATGTTTTCTTGGTGGTAACGGGTACCTGGAGCTCTCTATATGAACGTCTGGCGAGAATCAGACTGCAAGCTAAACCTGGACTCGTCGGAAAACATCACACAAGCCCAGTGTGTCGGTATCCACAATGCATGCTCTCTACTCCAGGCTAACCGCAGGCAACAGTGAGTTGCAGTAAATGGAACGCATCTGACAGGTCTACGAGCCTATAGACCAATCTGCCCTAAGCGTCTGTACACGGTCTGCCTTGAAATTGTCAGACCAGTGGCTGAAGAGAGCTGACGAGACAGGTCCGAGGCTGTGCTGCGCCTGTTTCTTTTGGCAGTAACTGCCAAATACCGGTCCTCATTCGGCGTTGTAACTCTGGGGCGACCTGTGCTGTAACGTCTACTCACATTACCATCATCTTGGCATCGTTGCCAAAGCCTGGAGATGACACTCTGGGCAATTCCAAGTTTGTCTGATACTTCCAAATGGGTACGCACATTCCTGACTGCCGATAATTCTACACGTATAAAATCATCCAAATGCGTCTTCTGTGTCATAATCATTCGGTTATTGCACTGAAATGCTTATAAAGTGCCTGCGAACAATTTTACTTCTTTGCCTGTATTTCTTATATATCACTCTGTTACAATCTCGTCATTGTGACGTACCATCGGTGTCATCTGGTTACTTCCTGAAATTTGCATATTATTCTTGGAAATGTGTGTAGTGATTTTACAGGTGATATATTTATTTTAGAGTTCGATGTCCATGTGACTCCGAATTATCCTTAATTTATGGACATGAGTGTAAATAAATAGCAATAATAATAACTAAGCTACTGAACTGAGATGTTCTCTCTCTGACTTTTCTGGATTTCAATCCAGTGCGCAAGATCTTTCTAGTATTTTCTGCTTCGCGAGATTTCTGGAAAGCAATAAGAGGATTGGATTACGGTTACAACTAACATAGTAGTCAATTACATTTATTTAATTTAAATACAAATTACTGAGATATGCATTTATTCAAAGTCAAATACACATGCTCCTGTATTTTTACTTTTCCAGCAAATCTTTCTCTTAAAATTTCTCTCGCACTGCATTTCATGGGGAAATACAATAATTTTAGTTATAATTCTACTAAAATTATCTGTCTAAATACAAAATTTGTAACAATATATACTATAATTTTGCATGTTTTAAGTTTTGAAATTTTTGAATTTCATAATGTTTATGTAAATTGTTTCAGGTTCTCATGCCAGCTGGCAATAACAGAATTTGATTACACAGAAGATAATGTTACATCATCATATGCACTTCCAACTGTAAATAGAAAACCTCATGAAACTTGCATTATCAAAACTGAAGATGAAAATACACCTAAACGGAAGATGTCTGTTGTCATTAAAAAGGTCGAGGAAAACAATACTCCAAAACGGAAGGTTTCAACTAGAATGCCTGATATATTAAACAGTCAAAATCTGGCAAATGAAAAGAGGCAACAACGAAAGTCATATGCAGGCTTCACCAACAGCTCCTTTAAATCGCCAGTAGATAAAGTTCGACGGAAATCTTTGAGTGAAGTAAGCCAACCAGAACGAGTCATCAAAAACATGAAATTTGCTTTTACGGTAGATCTGGTACCTACAATAACTAAGAATGATAAAAAGACTGATGTTGTTGAAGCTTTAAAATCCCTTGGTGAGGAAGATAATGAAGTAAACGTTGTTGATCTAGCTAATAAGGCACTGAGCATGGAACGGAAATATATCACTCAGTGTTGCAATGAAATTGGTAGTGATAAAATAGAAGACTTTGAACAGATTATCAATGCTCCAAATAGTGAAGCTGTCATGTCATATTATTATGTGGAGGACAAAACTGTTAAAATTACAGAACTATACAATGTTACTGATGCAGACACTAGTATTGTGCTGCCTGATGAAGAGAGAAAAATTAATGATGAATTGCAGTGGGAGAAAGATTGGATAAATGTACCTGCTATTGATCCAGCTCAGAATGTATCAATTACAGATACTTTAGATGATGATGAATTTGATACTAGTGATGTAGAGTATGATTTACCCGAGAATTTACCTTCTAAAGCACTTGGAAAGGAAAATGTAAACTTATTAGATAAGAATGAGCCATTCATTTCTTCAAAACCACAAAGGAAGACCTCTTTTATCATAGTAAATTGAGTTTGTATTTTGTAGCATCATGTGCCATTCATTATATTTGAGCAGGTCTAATATGTTGCCATGTGGAATTTTTGGCATGTTAAACTGTGAATGTAAAGGTTATAAAGCTCTAATCACAGTTACTTATAATTAGGGATATGAAGAGTTCTGTTTTCATAGATGTCTGTTCTGTACAGAATAACATGCAGCTTATTGTTTTGTTAACATTTCTGTTAGGTACAGAATTTACTTTTTGAAAAGCTAAATAATTTCATTTTGATGTTTTAAATAATTCCAATCTTCTATCTCTTAAATAATTTTAGATTTAAATAATAGAGGGAAGAAAAATCAAATGCTTTTGTTAAATACAGTATGATATTGTTACAAGCATTTTTTATGATATTAAAATATATTTGTTTTAACTGAAGTTCTAGATTTGAATTTAATTTTTCAAAATTATTGTGGTGAAATTTTAAAGAAAGCATTTTGATCATAAAAGATTATATACAACTGAAAGTATATCAGATAAAATAATGGGTTATATTTTGTTTTTATCCATTCATTTTATTTATTTGTTTAACTGCATAATAAAATCAACATTAAAAACGGACAAACCCTTATTTTTAAAATCATTTATGAGGAACTGTTCATTGAGTATGCATATCTACATTTTTGTGTATAGGTATTTACTGTTACTGAGCTGTTTTGTATTATAGAGAAATTTCTGGCTATGAAGTTAATGTGTATTAATGTACAGTTTCATGTATATCTTTTCATTTTTCATTTTTATTTATACTTCATAATAATTGTACTGGAATATTTATTCAGTATTGAGCTAATACAGAAAATGCCAGTTATTAATTTCATTTATTTTTATCTGCTTTGAAATAATATATGCCAAAATTCTTTGTATTAAAAAACGTAAATAAATTAAATTTTTCAGCTTATTTCATTTTCCTGTTTCAAGAAACATCCAGAAATATGTTAGATATTACTGAATGCTTTTTAATTTTTTGCTGTGCAGCTTTATAATCTATGAACTGGCATAATTGATCTTGTTTTTTCTGTTATCAATGTGGTTAGTCACAAGATTTAGAGCAATTTATATATGTATGAATATGATTATAATTACAATTTCATTTTTCTTGTACATTATGAATTTTTATAGGCTGAAAATTATAATTTAAAAATACTTGTTTTGGTGCCAAAAATTTAAAGTTCTTCAGAAGTTTTTCATTCTTAAATGCTGTAGCAATAAAATTTGTGTAAAATAATAATGTTGTTTTCATTTTATTTAGAGTTGAATTTGTAACTTGAGCTATTTCATTTACATTTTGTTTTGAAATAAATTAATGAACAAAATAATCCTAAATCAGTTAACATGGACTGATAAACTCATTTCATATTCAGTTTTTAAGAAAACTGCTAATGCTATAAGCAAAAATCATAATTAGTAAAAATGTAATTGAGAAACATGCTGAAATTGTATTAAGATGCTAATAAATATGAAAAACATGCTGAAATTGTATTAAGATGCTAATAAATATGAAAAACGTGCTGAAATTGTATTAAGATGCTAATAAATAGTGCCACCAGTGGCCAAATGGGTAAGACTGCCTGAATTCTGATAGTTCGACCCGAGCTCAAATCCTGGTGACCAGATGATTTTGTGGGTATTTTTGTGGTTTTCCTGTTTGTAATATGGATAAGTAGTAGTTTTCATTATAAAGTCCTTCATGAGTCCATCTATAACCTATAGGCAAATAACCTTTACATGTTTTAACATATTCAGGTAGTCTAAACCTAACTTGATTTTAAATATTTATTTTGGAACTAAAATTTGAATTATTTAAGAACTGAAATTTGTTTGCAGTCATTTCTTGAATAGCTTAAATTATCTATTTTTAAGTCTGGAAATAGTACTTTATGAAATTCTGAGGTAGATATTTGCTACATGAATAGATTAGTGTTGAATTTCAGTTTTCGTTTTTTAATTTAACACAAAAAATTAGAATTAGTGGAAACTAGGGAATAATTCACATGAAAATTCTCGAGGGTGCATGGGGCATGAGCTCGGACCTAGCCAACTCAAATGGTTTCATAGGGCACTTTGATAACAAGGAACATTACAGCAGGCCGCACGTCAGGTAAAAATTCTTTTAAAAAATACGATACAATCAAACCAATTTTCCATGGCTTTATCCACTTGGCCACTGGTGGGCAATAAGTATTAAAAGGTTCTTTTAAGTGACACATTTTTAATTAAATGAACTACAAAAGCAAATTTAAAAGAAATAGCTATCCTAATATTTGTGATTATACGCGATAAAAAAATGAAATCGCGAGACTGATAAAGATAGTTGATTAAATAAAAAGTATTGAGAAATTACTAAATTAAATGTTACTCATTCTTAAACATTTCATTTTCTAGCTTACAGTACCAAAGCAGTAAAATCACTGAAGGCTGGTGTTTCGATGTATGTGTAAATGGCATGAAATGATCTAGATGCATGGCAGTTTTCATAAATTTTGCCATATGTTATGGAAGTATGAGCATGTTTTCTTTAGAAAGTCTCAAGAAGACTTCCGACATATTAGTCAGATATCCCTGATGTGCTTTGCCGTAAAGGAAATAATCTTTTCTAATTTTATTTCATAGTCTTTTCTATTGCTAGTACATTTATTATTCCTTGAAATTCTGTAGGTGCTCGAATATGAGAACCCCACGACTTTTTGTTAATTATTGCCAGGAAAATTGTGATTGGTAATTTGTTTTTCAATTTTTAATGCATTAAATGAAAAACCATGTAACTTAAAATTTTTTTTATGTATTTTGTTTTACACGTTTTGGTTTATAGGTAGTGGGAAAGTAATAAGAGAGAAATTTGTTGTATGAATGTTAGAAAATTATTCCTTCTATTCAGTGTAACAATAAGATATACATGACTACACTTTTTTCCCAAGATTGCATGATCTATCCGATGAGAAAGCTTACATTAAGTACATGTAAATTTCATTTAATTATAAAAATATAATCTCATTTAAATTTATGGAGCCGATGTCAATGGATTAAATCTTCTTTAATTTAATTAGTCCTCGTTGATAACAGCCGCATGATAGCTAAAAAGCATAGAACGATTGTTCAAAAATTGCCAAAGTTTAATAACGTGCTTAAAATTTTGTGTGAAAGTTCCATCCCCCTGATCTATCAAATGGTGTAAAATAGAAATTGTGTGATAATTATAGTTAAAACAGCATATATAAGAAATACCCAACAACTGAATTAAGAAAATTCCGATGGAAAATTTTATTGTCATTGCAAATATATACGTGGGTAGAATAGAAAAATAGAAAGAATTAACTTTAAGATTTGACTCAAAAGTCGAACGGAAATCAGATTAAATAAAATATTGTAAAAATAGCTTTTTAACAGTACCACTTTTATCAGATTTCACAGTGTAAATGCGTTATTCAAAAAGAGGTTTTATCACGGATGTATAACAGGGATATCAGTTTATTCTCCCCTTCCATTTCTGAGAGCATTGTTATTCAGTATTAGTACTGCCAATCTCGATGCATGCTTCGAGCAATCAACACCAAAATAAGAAGAGATCTATAAGAGAACTGGCCAATGCAAGACTAACGGGACACTTAAGTGTTATAAAAAATTAAAAGTAAAGATAAGTACACTGTTTTGTAATAGAATGCATAGTATGGCTAATGATGCAAAGGACGCCACTAGCATAATCTGCTTATGGTATGGAAATATGCTGCTCACAGCTGGCAGCATAGGATCCAGTCTTGAATTATGACATTGGTGACCATTGTAATAAATACACTGCCAAAGACTGTTTCACTCCCTTACCAAAATACGTCTCTAATGCATTTTATTACAGTATTAGCATTGCGTTTTGTTGCACAAGGCTTGCTTGCTTATTAGCCTTCAGCTTGTGAATCTGCGAAAATGATCAATCAGTTGCTAAAGCAGTTGATTTAGATTCTTATTTTGACTTATTTGACTTCCTCATACACCTGGCACCCCAGGATTGTTAGAATACGTAATTTCATTGCACAATCCACATTTACATCTGCCATACCTATGAGGGGCAGAGTGTAACCTGGTAATTTAGCTCGAGTTTCAGACCCAGTGAATGGTTGGCTTCATGGCTACATTTGTGATATTCTCCATGAGTAATGTGAATGCAAGCTAGTTTTCCCTATAAAATGTTCCATGAAGACATTCCTTCCCTTAAACAGGAGCTCTTGCATGCTTTGACATTTGTAGTTAAGGTTTTAGTTAAACCATCGAGAAAATTGATCGAGCTAACCAAATTTAAACAAAAAAGAAAGGAAGAAAAGAAAAATAAAAATGTACGCTTAATTTAACTTTTTTCACTACTTCGTCATTTTTCTTAAATTGGATGGTTACAAAAAGGCACCACACCGCCTAGCGCTCATCCAAAATTTATTTGCTGCATTTTGTACTTCATTATCCAATTGTGACTTTTCAATGCTAAAATCAGTGATTTCCAAACTTTTTTGATCACGAACCCCTAAGATGAAAATAATTATAGGTTGTACCCATATCATATAAAATGTAATGTCATATAATATAATGTAAGGGGAAATAATTTAATATAACAATATAATGTAGCCTCAAGTTAGTTAATGTAGTATAACATAATATAATATAATGTAATATAGTTGATAATTAGTTTATTTTAATTTAAATTAAATTATTTAATGATTAATTAAACATGTTAAGAGTTATTAGAAATCTTAGGCTGAAAACTTAATATTTAGCTGCCAATATATTTGAAATAGAAAGTGTAACCAACAAAAATAATCTTGCGTATACCAAACTTTAGATTTCAAATAGGAAATAAATATAAATCTGATTTTTTTCCTTTTGTGTTTTAATTAATTGCGTTTTAATTTGAGCTTGAGACTGCTGTTATATACTATTATACGCTCGAAATTACGATGATAACTTTGGCTTTCCAATGGTTGAGTAGTTGCAGTACTCAAGAAAAACCTTACAGTTTGTGTCCTTACGCAGTAAAAACTGTTTGTCCTCTTCCAAGGGAATAAATTCTGAGAATTTATTTCTTCGCTTCACTGCGTTACTTTCATGGTCAAACAAGTCCAGAGCTTGCAATTCAAAGTCCATAATTTCATGCGCTTTATGCTCTTCCTTTTGGTTTTTCGGTTTTCTGTTTTAGAATCTGAATATGTCCGTTCTTTTATTGCTTAAAAGAAAAATGAAATTTGCAAACTTCATACTAAAATTTACAAATCGAAGAATTTGCCATAGAAGTTAAAAAATTAGAGTAGTTATAACATGCAAAAATTGCAATTTAATCTTAATATGCAGCTAAGCAGTTTGCCTACTAGTTTTAAATTAGTTTCCTAGAACTTAAAGATATAGAAAAATCTTATAATTAAACGGGGCTGTTCAAAATGGCAAAGCCACAATATAGGAAAAAAAAATTTGCTACGATATTATTTCATTAACGACTTTTGAAGATTAACACTATTTGGAGACTTACGAAGTTATTTAATTAAGGAATCTTATTCGAGACGTAGTCATGCATTTATTCCACTGGAGCGCTGGCACACGACGCTTACAATAAATATTTTCCTTAAGGACTTTGCTTTAGTATTTTCTATTTTTCCAGGCCACGAAATTTACGAATCGAAAATAAACATCTGAAAGAGATTTTTTTTCAATGTGTTTTTAAAAAGAAATCTTATTTTATTTTTTACAGTCGTTGTATCCAATTTGTGGGCACTGCAGCTAGTTTTGTACAATGAGAAAGAAAACTGCAGAACTGGCAAAGAGACCTTGTTGGTGAATTTTGCAGTTTAGTTAACACGCTCGTTGCCTGCTGTGGTGCACATGTTGGCTATCTCTTGCAATAAAAATAAGGAAGAGGAGGTAAAATGCATATTTATGGAAAATTTGTTTATTTCACTTTTAGCAATAAAATTATGAACTGATTTTGACGCATGTTGACTAATTTAATTTTCCATAGGCGCGTTTACAGTAAGAACAAAACAAATAAAAAAGCAGTAATGGAAATCCTTTCAATTATCATTTGTTTAATTTTTCTTTTTAAATTACGATAATATTCAAGTTTGTATAAATTATACACACTTTCTTAATCTGAATTATACCTAACCCGTTACACAGAAAATTAACTTTGCGGAACACAATTTTGCCGTACGCACCATGTGTTAATGACGTAACCCCCGAGTTCGGCAAAGATTTACTATACGTGCAAGTCTTCTTTGGTTTAAAAATATGACAGAATTCTTCCACCTTATGATATTTTTCGAAACAGGGTAACTCAGGTTTTTAACTTCAATATTTTGCACATATAAAGCTTTGCTTAGTTTATTTATCTCAAAATCAGGAGTATCTGCCTAATCAGAGGATGGAATGGATGGATCCCTTAATGGAAGATTCCTAAGAAAAACTAGATCGAATCTATGTTATACATAAAGAAAACCATGAAAACGCCTATGGAGCCAGCTCATTCGCTGGAGGTTTCAAATAAAGG